GTCAAGTTAAACAGGGTCTTCCTTCCCTGCTGATTTTGCTAAGCCATTCTTATATATAGCACATACATGTATTCAATTTATTTTTTCAACATTTATATAAAGTATTTTTCTTTATAGGATCAATAAAATTGCATCATCCGAATAATGGTAATACCAAGACCATGCAGAAATAAATTTAAGGAACTGATTTTGAAAAAAACCATATAATGATGAGTAAAGACAAGGAGTTGAAAGATAAACAAACCCTTTTCCGTGGATGATGGTAGTTCCATCCAAGACCCTACTTGGTTTCCTTTCTTGTTTGTGTGCACTTGTCAAATACAAGTTATAGAACTTTTTAAAAATTGTTTCCAAAAATAAAATGAATAAATCTGATGATATTGATGATAGATAGGGTTGGCATTGAACATGTTCAAGGCGTATTGTTCTTGATGATGGAAATTATATGACGGAGTTTGAATTGGTGATGAATTTGGTTGGGGTGGTTGATTATCATTTTGAATTAGTGATTGAGATGGTGGGGTTGAATTGCTTGAGTGAAGGTTGTGTGGTGATGCTGTTGTTGATCTTGCACTTAATATTACGCATGGATTATTATCAGAATATGGTGGTGATGGATGGAATTTGGATCTATAGCCAATGCAACCCTGATCATAGGTGTCAGATTTAATAAATTTTCCTTTCACAAACAAGCAAGCATCATGCGATTGCAAACCTCGTAAGGGCACTGACATATATTAGCTAATAATTAGGGAGTGGGGGGATAACAGAAAATCTTAGGTCACACAATCTCATAAATAACGTGATCATAATGGCTTCAGTGAAAAATCTGCATTTTTATAATTTTGAATGTAAGTGATTCAATTTAGGAATGATCTACATGCAAACCAATTGTCATTTACAAAAAAATTGTATTACACTTTTTGTCTACAGGATGATATGGCAATTAATTCTCACACTCTCATATACATAAATGCTATAATTAATCATTCTTTATCTGATATACCTTAAATATATTTTGCCAAAAAGAGGACACTTTTGTTGTGATTGAGAAGAGAGAAATCATCAAGAATCCTTGAGTTTTGTTCTTTGTATTTTCCTTTAGCAGGATGCATTGTTTGTAATTTTCAATTAAGTAAGGGTTATTACACTCAGAACCAAATAGGTTGTTTTGTCAAAGAAATAGCCAATGCAAATTATACCCAGGAATTCCAAGAGATCATGATATATTATGAAGGAAATTTTTTTTACTCCAATGTTGCTTTTAAAATGTATGATTTGTTAATAAAATTAATTCTTTTTTTTTGCTTGTGCTTTGTTGATACCTAAAAAGGCAATTGATTGTCATACACGTGATCAAAATGTCTTACCTGGGGGTGGGGGAGTAAGCACTACTATTAAAATGATATTAGCTAATATATGTCAGCGCCCTAACTATAGAGAATTCTTTCTATAGGAAAGGCAATTGAACAAGTTGGAAGGCTTCAGACAAGCAAGATGCTTAATACAATGTGATTAATAAACTTCAGAGCATCTTTACCTCTCCCTCAAGTTTAATTACATTCTCATATCATCAGGGGATCAAGTCAGATTAGCCTTTTACACAAGAAAGGTATGAATAATTGTAATATTTTAAGTATTCAAGCCCTGGATATCTGTAATAAAAATTTGCATATAGAATCGTTTTCTAGTGTTCCAAGGGCAGTTTTCCATGTGTGTGTGATCTATCTTCAATCGTTATATGATAATAATGAATGTTAACCCAAAACAAATATACCAATAATTTACCTATTCTCACACACGACAAGGAATCTTATTTCCAACTTCCTTATTTCCTTATTTAAAGGAGAGAATTTGCATGAGCTTCTCCTTACTGTCTCCATCTGATTCTGCAGAATACACTTAAGAGTATAGATATATTGCCTTTTATTAAGTGAGGAGGTTGTTCGTTTCCACAAGCAAATTAGTCTAACAACTAACTTGCTATTTGTTGGGTAACATTGTCGAAGAAGCCTTGCTGTAATTGTCAGGATTCCCGGAAGAACCATGTACAAACTGAGGCATGGAATTTGGCACGTGTTATCGGTTGGAACGCGCGTTACAGTATATTTCAATAATAATAATATTATTATGTAATTCGTGTAATATAAGAACCGTGGTCATCAACTGATTTGTTCCATGCCGTGTGATTTAAAGAGTTATTTTGCTGTATATAAAAAAGTTTATTTTATTATACAATAAAATTTTACTGTTCTTTCATTCTTTCCTAATTTATTTCTTTTATCTCAACCTATTTTACAAATGCAAGTGCTCTTCACCTTTCCCAAAAAGTTTCACATCCACTTTGCATCAGATTGGAATGGTTGATTGTATTTTTCAAGATACTTTAATATTCAATCCCCTCTACACAAACACCATTTGAACTCAAGTTAAACTTTATTTTTATCATCACAAATCTCTAATAAACAAAAAAAACAACATCTTGTCATAAAACTATCAAAATCAATTCTTTGAAGTAACAGCATAGATACTCTTAATGCTATACCTGAATTTTCTTCGGATAATTAATAATACATATGGCTAGTAGCAATTCTTTGTAGTATGAATAATTAATATAACTAATATTTAAACTAAAGGTACGTATACTATTTGATCACTAAGTTGCAATTCTGAAGGGCAAGTATGTTAGCCTTTGTAGAGATAAGACCAATTTAAAGATAAAATAAATTTTTCTAGAAACTCATGTTTGATAACTTTAGGTTGATTGCAAAAAAAACATATTTATGGAAATCAGACCTAATTTATAATCATACCAACTAATGTTATATTTATTCATTTATTCATCTATCCATCCATCCATCCATCCATCCATCCATCTATCATCCATCTATACATTCTTTTATTTGTTTACTCATTTATTCATTCGTTCATTCTAGGATACAAAAATGATATAAAACAAAAAGAAAGGAACCCCAAATTTCAAAGATTCAAAAAAGTAAATATGAATTAATAATGACGACGATAATTATTGGAAGAACAATACCAAGAAATAATTGATTAAAAAAAAAAAGAAGTAATTTTTTTTATTGTTATATTTGTAAAGGAATGGATGTCCTTATGCAAATTGGGAGTTGGGTCAAAAAATTTCATACCAATTCATATTTTATAAAAAAAAAGTTTTACAAGTTACAAAGTCACTTGTTATAAAGCATTCCTTTAGTTCTGAATTTAGATTGAAATGGTATTTGATGAAGTGTTAAGTAAGTGCGAATTATTATTTTATTGACTTTACAAACTATATTGTTTATTTATATCTTCAAGGCTCTGGGATTTATAATGATTGAATTAAGGGAAGTTTTTTTATTTCTAAGTTAAATGATGATTTATGATTTTTTTTTTTTTACAAGTTATAACTTTAAAAGTTAAATAAATAAATGCTTTTAAAACTACTATCAGTCATAGTAATTTTTATTTTTCGTTTAAAAAATATATTTTGACAGGAAGTTGTGTAATCCCGCCGAATAACCTCAATAATATATCATCCAACCATAAAAAACAACTGATCCATCTTTATAATAAACATGATCAAAATTATGATTAATGAATGCCTGATTCTCCCCAAATAGATTTTACGAGTTTTGTGTTCGATTCATCTTTTAAATATATAGATAGATCTTCCGACTCCACATGGTTTTCGATTTCTTGAATATGTTGGTTTTTTGATATTTTCTTTTTTGAGTCCCAATTTCCACTAACCATCGACTCTTCTTTTTTACACAATCAATTGCTTCTTATCTTAATATGACACTCACAATATACTTGAAAAAGCAAAGCACTTTTTTCACCTTTTTTGTATGGGAAGAATAAAAACCTACACTAATAATCAACGTTTATGATAATATTATGAAATGTTTTTTTATTCAAGAATAATTTATATTGTAGATATAATACAAGTTTGCTTGTTAAGCTAGCAATGATTTTTCAATTATTGAGAATTTGACTAGCTGTAGGAATTCACCTCTGCACAGTGATGACTATTTTTCCATTTTAATTCTTGTTATATAGCAATTGCGCTCAAATCATAGTATTCTAGTTGGCCATGAAACCACCAATGATCGATATTAACTCTTGCTATTATTACTTTTTTTTAGAAAGAAGGGTGATACCTATTTTTTGATCCGTTTACTATGATGAAAGATGCAATTTTATTTGATCAGAATCATGAAAGTAAAACCCAATTACATACATTTCATGAGAATATTAAGTACTAGTTTAAATGAAGGTAATAATTTTTTTTTCTTGTTCCTTATAGGAATGTTCACTTATGGATTTTGATTTTAGATGATTTAACTCACAAAAACACTTTGTGGTGGATGATATAAAGAGCTAAAACAAATTCGGTTTCAACATAGTTTGCACCATGCATCGTTATATTTTGTAAAGCCTTCAATATAAAAATATTTGAAATCTCATGAAAAATATTAGGAAAAAAGCATGGGTGTAAATGTTTATCAAGCTTATTAAAAGATTTGGGCTCAAGCTTTAAAAGGAATATCCATTGAAAATTTATATTAATTGGTTATTAATACTCTTAATTATAAAAAAATTATCATTACTAAAACCACCACTTAGTGAAGATGAAGGTGGTGATGATTAAATTATTTTTTAATACAAGGCAATGGACTATTATTTTATTCAATGAAGCTAACAAAATCAATATTAAGCGCTGATTTCAAAATTTATCATCATAATCTTCATCAATATGAATATGCAAGATTGATAAGAGAATTGTTTAATGGATTTTAGGAATTATTCTACAATTAGTCTCCATTGAGAGTGTCAATTTATCATTTGAATTATAAATTGTATTTTACAAGGAAATGAATTAAAAGAGTTTAATAATAGTATAGATGTGGTTACATGATGATAATGATGAATAATAAATAAAAATTAAATAAGAAAATGATAATGATGAATGATAATAATACATATTTTTATATTCATTCCAAATTTTTATATTCCTCATATAACTTATTAAGTTCCTCTAATTTTTTAAATAGAATGTACTTTGCCTTATCTAATCTTGGCTGGAAAAATAGACAATAAATATATCTTTACCATTTAAAAAAGCAAAGAGGAGTGAAGAAGAAAATTCATTTACCTGCAATACATGAACACCATATTGAGTTACTATAATAAGTTCATTAATACAATCTTGATTTAAATCTAATCCAACAATCTTATAGATTGGATAAGCAAATGATTTTTTCCATAATAATTTAAATCTCATAAAACTATTAACATCATCAATCAATTCTAAATTAACAGATAGTTTAGATTGTTAATACTTTAAAAAATCAACTGTAATAAATAATATAAAGAAAATGTGAAGGTGAAAAGTGGGAATTGGTGTGATATTATAATAAATATTATTCTTTATACCTTGTTTATAAATTAACAATTCTCTGCCATAAGTCCCCACCATTATTTCATTTTTACCATCCCAATCTACATCCATTACATTTGAACAAAGAACACTGTCATACTCTGAACAGTCACTTAAAAAAAATGGATTGTTAAATAATTTTTTATCTACAAAACTATTAAAATGAAGAAAGTTAATGTTATTAATAATAATGACTATTGTATTAATTGATATCAAAATTAAGATTAAGAGTAATGTATAAATTAATGATTTACCAATATATTAAAGCTTGTTCAACTGCACAAGTCACTAGCATATGAAAACTTCCCGGATTAACTATAAATAATTAAATGATGACATTAAATAATTTTATCTATATAAATTAATAATAAAGAACTAACCTTTACTCGTAGAAGAAGAGAAAATACAAATTGAAGTTATGGAACTTGGAAGTACAACTGAAGATGACAACTCTTCTACTTGAACTATTATCATTATTGTATCATAAAAGATGTTTTTTGAAACAAAAATTTAAAATTAATAATCAATAGACAATATTACAATTAATTAGATTAATTATTATCCATTATAATAAATTATTTATTAATTATCACCATAATTTCCAGTAGTTAAATCTTTTTTCATTATTGATAGATAAAGAGTTCCATTTTGACAGCCTGCAGCAATAATTTTTATATCATGAAATTCTTTAATCTCAAGAGATAATACACTAAAACACAAAATGGTAGAGATTTAAATTTTAGTATGAAGAGCAAGTATTCTTCTAATTATCCAATTATTTTAAATAATTATACAAGGATGATTTGAATGATAATTACTTTGAATTACAACTTCCTAATTCTGCATGCAATGGATAATATTGTTGAATAGATCTCTCCTCCCATTTCTTTGTTATTTCATTCTATAATTTCAAAAAAAAAAATTTTTTTCACAAGATCAATCATAAATTTTGCTAATCCAAATAATCAATGTGTGTATGCTTTTCAACATACTTCAGTGTATAAATGAATACCACCATCAGTTCCACATAACATTAAACCATCAAATGATTCACCATTATGGCTGATTTCTGAATGTAATAATTGCATTGGTGCAAATCCCAATTCAATAAGCTGACACTGTTCTAACCAAAAAATAAATAAATAAAAATTAGTAAATTGAAAATCAAAATAATAATATAATAAATAATAAATGAATATTTCAAAATAATTTAATTACCAGTAACTTTAAACAATGCTTCTTCAATATACATTTCTGATGAATCATCATCATCAGTTAAAGAAAATATTCTTAAAAAAAATTTATTGTTTCTTGATTCATCTGAGAGATTATTATTTTCTGGTCCAGTCTTTTAGTTTCCCAAAGAAAAAATAAATTAAAAATTTATCTAAATAATATCAATAATAATAGCATCAAAAGATGGATATATTTACATTTACAGTTGTGATTGATAGAATTAAAATTGATGATTTTGTTGAAAACACTTCTATAGATATGATTTCACCAATACTATTATCTAATGGTAACTCCAATGTATTCCAATATCCCGCTGCTGATACAAAACATGTAATTCCATAAAATGAACTAATAAATATGTGATAATTTGGATCTTTTAAAGTTCTCCGCAAAAAAAATTTTAATGATATTAATAAAATCTTTATAAATTAAAAAATGAAAGGATAAAAACTTTGTGGATCAATACCAAGGTCATTATTATTATCATCGTTATTATGAATTTGATGATTTAGCACAAGTGCATTATTATCTCCATCATGTAATGTTTTTGTTATATTTGATGGAAACTCTTGATCCCTCGGTAGTCCACTCTTCATAAACGTTTTAAGTATAGATAATCCATAGATATTTCTTTGTTTTCATTAAATGTTAATAAATAGATAGATATTCGACTGAATGAATGAATAAATTATGTATCCTTACGTTCTACCGCCAGATGAAAACCTTGAATAGTGACATTCAGTAAAATATCTCGATGTCATTTGCAATATATTCAAATAGAATAAATTTCGTTGTGTAACTAGTTCAAATTTAGAAACTATCTCCAAAATTTGATTGGATAATAATATTTCCATTAATACACAGTGGATCTCGGTTTAGTGGATACTAATTAAAAATCTCGGTTTTACGGATAAAGTTCAAAGAACGGTTTCATAATAAACCTTAATAAAAACCTTCTCGATATAACGAATATTTTGGTTTGACAACAGTCCCAGGTCATTTCCCGCCCGATCTATAGGAGGTCGTAAAACATTGTAAAATTTGGATGACCTGCATCATAGTAAATTTTATAATCGAATGTCTTCACACCCTCGATTGATACCCTTGCTGTGTATCAAACACCGCCAAATTTGAGATATAACTTCTTTATCATATGTATCTGCTTTAAGAAAATTTTTAAGGCAGGTTTAATAAAACCGAAAATAATCTGACCCTCAAAGCCAAATTTTTGCCTTATATTCATACGCGTAAAATTCTGTTTGACGCGTCCAATTGCATGTATAAAGCAGAAATAAATGTCCAAATATTACATCATTATGAATATTTACAGATTTTTGATCACTTAGGCATGTCTTTTATAGTAAAATCATTTATTTAAAAGTAAATATAATAAATAAATAGATTTTAAATTTTTCTTACCTATATGCATAACTAATGATTAAATTAAATGGTGTTTTATCTCTGATTTTATTTCATTTAATTATTTATCATAGTGATGTTATTAAATATAAGTTAAAATAAAAGAGAAATTTATACACTATTGAATAATTGATAAAACATTCATTTTTGTAAAACTTGCTTTGCAAGCTTCATAGATCTTGCTTGTCTGTAATGCTTACTTTGATCACTCCTATACAAACTATTGGATAGTTGATAAAGTGCTCATTAGTATATTTTGTTCATAGATCTTGTCCTTAATGTTTACTTCAATCACTCCAATACAAATTATTGAATAATTGATAAAACATTAGTATATTTTGCAAACTTAATAGATCTTGTCCTTGATGCTTATCTTATCCTCAATGCCTACTTTGATTACTCCTACACAAACCATTGAACAATTGATAAAACATTGTTAGTATATTTTGCAAGCTTAATAGATCTTGTCCTTAATGCTTACTTCAATCACTCCTATACAAACTATTGAATAATTGATAAAATGTTTGTTAGTATATTTGGTTCATAGATCTTGCCCTTAATGCTTACTTCAATCATTCCTATACAAACTATTTGAATAATTGATAAAATGCTTGTTAGTATATGTTTCAAGCTTCATAGATCTTGTCCTTAATGCTTACTTAGATCACTCCTACACAAACTATTGAATAATTGATAAAACATTCATTAGTATGTTTTGTTCATAGATCTTGTCCTTAATGCTTACTTAGATCACTCCTATACAAACTGGACCTTAATCTTTATTATCATCCTCAAAAAATGATGATTCATTGTTATTGTTGGTACTAATTATAATATTATTGATTAATGGATTTTTGTATATGGGGTATACTGCAACAAAACCAGACAAAGTGAACATTGGTATTACCAAGAATT